TTTTACTTTGGTACAGTAGTGTGGTGCAAATGTGAGACGGGACAGTGTGCATGATGGCTAAGCTGGACCGGAGTTCGCAGATTCAGGGAAGCATGGTGGGTTAGGAGTGGAAGAGACGCCATTTAAGCCCATCCTGATAGGAGGCTATCATCAAATGGATATTCATAAGACGCTTTCGGCAAATTGATGCCCTCTTGGGAAGCCCTGGACGACACTCGTCTAGGCTCCAAAGTCCTCCGGCTGATCTACAGGGCCCCGATGTTCTACAAATTCATGATTGCAACAGATGCAATGTCTGAGAATGATCGTTGCAAAATTATTCACTTTACACCAAGTCCGCAATATTGAAGAGCAGGCAAGTTGTCCACAGGGGTTATGTGAAATTGTGTTCACCAAGCAAAATTATTGCCAAGTTCTGTCTTATTGACAAAAAGGTATTCCTCGATAAGGAAGGAAAACAGATCAAGGCAAAAATTGGCTTTCACAAGACTTCCTTCAGGCATAAACATTGACGGATAAGATTTGTATCAGATGCTTCCAACTGATAAGGGCCTAATATGATAAAAGTTGCGAGCGTAGGTATAAGAATTAAGGAAAATATTAATTGGGATGCATTAGGATCAGAGGTTAAGTGAGCCTGGCAGAGTAAGCTAGAATTTGATATTAGCGCTGCATTAGATTTCTCGGGATAATTAATTTTCCGTTGTTCAACAGTAAAGATAACAAATAGAAAATATTGGCCAATCTCACAAGTTGTACAGTTTCCCAGAGGAGTTTGTGGGTGACTTTGTGTTAGAGGTTGTCCAGACAATTGTTGACCTTGTAGAAAGACTTCATAAAAAGGAGAGAGTGAACAAAATTAAGAAGAAGCTGAGAAACAATAATCAAATAATGTTGAGGAAAAGCAAAGGAGGAACAGACTTAGTTGTGAATAGAGAAAGTTCTATAGAAGTAATGATATGGTCGTGTTGTCAGGGCAACCTAGAGGATTGCGCCTTGGCCGAATTCCTCTGACATACACATTTTGATGATGTCCAGCGTCCTACCGATGAGCTGGTGCATTTTAAGACGTTCCGGCATGAGCATAATTTGAGCTCTTTGATATCTGCAGAATCGGTTTGTGAAATTTATTTGCGAACATGTTTCGAGATCAAGTTGCGAAAGAGACGAACAATTATTAAAGAATCCGAAACTTTACATGACCACATGGGTGTTCGAAGGTGGGAAGTTTGACTGACGTAATGAGATAAGAAGACTTCATCTTGTCAGTAAATTTTTCTTGGCCGCATGTTTTTCGTATCATTAATATAATATTGTAGGCAGCCTTACTGCTATTATTTACACTTATTATCTCATCTTATTTAGGCCGCATCTAAAACTCATATTCACTCATAAATATATGCAAAAAGGAAAAAAAACGCCATAACCCGGATTAAACAGGAAAAGCGGACCGTAAATAGTTCATTTAAAGCAAAGCATGTGCACGAATCTCGCACAGCGAGAGATGCTAAAATCAGTCCAGAATGCTAAGCCTCAATAAAAAATGGGTGCCAAAAGAGTGTGTAATAGGGGAGGATAAGTTAAACTTTATGTGAAAATCAGAACTATGACGACTCGGGAATGCAGCATGACTAATTGGGCAGAAGATATCGGTCAAGGTTTGTTCATCTGGGTCGCTGTGGCAACACGAACAAATTGTGGAACAGAGGACAGACCGGTTCTAGACAGCGTATGGACGTAGTGGCGAAAATATTATAGTCGTCGTGGCTACAGACACACAAGGGATGCCTCCAACGATGTATTGGACAAAGAGAAGTAGAGCAATTGTGAATGAATTTACTACTTCACCGAAATGCCATACTTCATAATGCTTATGTCTTGCCGATAATACATAAAGAAATGGATATACATGGTCGTAAAAGTAATGCAACATCACAGAATGGGCAGTTTACAATAAGGAATTCGTGTGAAATTGTTAGTTGGGCAGAAAAATGGATGATAGAAAACGGCCTTTGCCTGTACTTTTTGATAATGTCTTCATGCAGGCAAACATTACAGTAGGCGGAGAGATAGCGGTTCTTTAAGCAACGTTAGATCAACACTCGAAGAGTTGAATGGAATAAAAGTTGAATAAACATTCGTTAATGAGGTATAAAGACCAAGATGGTGTGGCCTTTTGTGTGGTCGCAGTCTCCTTTCGTTGTATACAAGTTGTTT